TATTAATTTTATTAATGTATACAAACAATTATTTTCAATCGAGTCAAAAATAATATTTACAATTAGCTTACCTAGATTGTAATTTTTGTCCTTTACACATGTGTATCATACTTGTTTCTACATTCTAGAAAGGGATCGCCAAGCGCTATCTCGCAATTAATTACATCATACTGTTGTATATCGATGCAACTTACGGAGACCTCATTTGTCATGCGCGAAGTGAGACTGACGTTAAGTCTCGTTTTACGTGTCAAAATTAAAATCACCGATAAAACCGATCGTGGGGTGGGTGCGTTCCGGGCTCTCGGTCGCGAAACGCTTTTTCCCATATAAATCATCTCGCACGTTCACATGTATAAAAATATAAAGCAACGCGTAGTCGCGCAGACTGCTGGCGCACAGTCAAGGCTGAATTATGCTCGCGTCCCCGTATTATGTATACATGGTGGGACAGGATCTCCTTGGACACACACTTGGCGATGTATGTCCATCGCGTTTTCCCGCCACGATCACTTTCAGAGACACATAGTAGTGCATAAAGTCGCGATTATGTACATAGGTGTGCGCGAGACGAGGACACCGGAGAGGTGCAATAAACCTGACGCGGGTGCGATTACCGATGACTCAACGCGGCGATGATCGATGATCTAATTGAGCTTAATTAGACGATCGCGGTTGTCGTTTCTTAGCGTTCGCGGTTTCGTCACGCTTTAAACGAAAGGGTGCAGAAGGAGAGATCGCGTAAGGATTATTATTCACGTCCGTTGCAAACCCTCGAGTTAATTATATCCCTCGCGTGTCGCTCTTCGGCTAATGATCGAATGACCGAGTTATTGCGAGATTAAGTTCGCAACACGGGATCGATCGGCAGTCTCGACTTTTCGCAAACAATTATTCTAGAATGAATATGAAATATTTAAAGTGTATATATTTAATTATTAATATTAATTATTTTCCTTGATATATAATTTTTAATATTAATACACTTTGGAATATTAAAATTCGTTGAATATCATACCGAACGAGCAAAAGTATCGCTAACCTGTCGAAATGCGAGCATCCTTGGTCACTTGCGTCGCAGAGTATTTTGCAAAGTCCGGCATTACATCATCGTGACGAAAGCAAAGAGAAGGATCAGGAAGCGGGTGGAAACTTGTATTGTCGCCGCATTATTGGGGCGCGAGATTAGGCCGATCGGCAAGAGATAGAAAAAAAGAAAGAAAAAGACGAAAAGGAGGAGAAGGTGGGAGGAGGAGGAAAGGGGGAGACGCGGCGGGGGAGGACGGGAGCTGTTGCTGCCTTTCACCGTTCGAGAAGTCTCGCGAGGCCGCGGAAATTTTTTTCTTTTTTTTGCTTTCGCCTCAAAAACCGCCACGAGAATCAAGCGTCGACGGTTGTTGAAACGCGTACGGTTCCGCGTCGTTCCGCAAGCGGAAGCACGCGCCGGAAACACAGATCTCGGCGTCTACTTCCGCGCGTCCTGTCGGATCGTCCATTTTCCGCGTCGCGATGATGTTTCTCGCCTCGACAATCGAATTCCGCTTTAATTAAAAGCCGAGATTGTAAATCAGATCTCTCAGAAATCGTGTCAGGCGCGAAATATATCGTTCGCACGATGAGCCGTTGTTGCTCTCGAATTTAGGATGCGACCTCCTTTAAACTCGGCTGAACCCGACGCCTCTTGCCTGTTGCATTCATCGGTACGTAATGTGGGTCGTGTTCCTCCGACACACTCTTGTTTTCGCAACGCTGCGATCGGAGATCTTATACATAACATAAATAAATTGTTAATAGTAATTAGATAAAATATTTAAAAGAATCTGTAATTAAATCGATATTTTACAGGATACGGAAAAATTCTGTATTAAAGAGTATCTACCGTGTATTTTTCGGCTAATGATCGAATGACCGAGTTATTGCGAGATTAAGTTCGCAACACGGGATCGATCGGCAGTCTCGACTTTTCGCAAACAATTATTCTAGAACATAATCATATATATACATATGCACGATATATTTAATTTTATTTTTGAATATGAAATATTTAAAGTGAGATTTATACATTATAAATTTACTCAGCTCTTTACTCTGAAAAGAAAAGATTTTCTCTCTCCTTTTGCTTTGATTTTTATTAATATATTGTCATAATTAATATATTATTGCATCTAATTAATAATTTTTCTTTCGTAACTTAATTATATATATATATATATTTCTCTTGTCTCTCTTTCTCTCTTTCTCGGGAATATTATTCAAAAAGACTTATAATGTTGTATACGGTAAATTAGATACAAGATGTATAAATTAATATATTTCGCGTTTTCAGTCTAAAAAAAAAACGCTTATCAATTTTAAGTTGATTAATTTTAAGAAATCAAGAATTTAATTCAAATGTTTAATGGAACTGGAAATACTGGAATATCTCTCTGCGTGGCATTTTGTCAACCGATAGTTTCACTCTCTCGGTCTTCGTGCATTAAATTGTGACTTTTCCATGAGGCAAGCCATAAAGACAGATGCGAAAGTAAGACAAACCATAAATACGAGCGTGAAGTGAACAGAATCGCATTTATTTCTGCGATAGATTCGCTCGATGGCTCTTACTCGATGTCGCGACGAGAATCGCTCCGATTTCGCGACGCTGACGTTCATTATATAAACGACAACCGATAAATAATAGGCATCGCGGAATCGTGAATCGATAACATTACGACACGGGTGCCGGGGAAGGTCATTCACCCTCGTTTAAAAATTGCGCGATGGACCCTGATAAGTGAAAGTTCGCGATTCCCGCACGAACTCTGATAAATCAAGCACGAGATGCGATTATTGTGTTAACGAAATCAAATTTATAATACATCAAATTTATGTTACGCCGTTACCTATGTAACAAATCAAGATGATTCGAAGAAAATATTCTTTTATTTGGTTGTATAAGAAATCATACTTTCGTTAACATCATGGGAGCTTAGATAAATCACGTCGCTTCCATGCTTTCGTGAGATTCTATTTCACTCTTCATTACATATTTTTTTATTTAAGTCTAAATAATTTTTTTGCGTATTGCAATTTCTTCGAGTTAATAAATAAAGAAATGATGAAAAATTCTTTTTAATTAATTCTGCAATTAATTCTGCATTTATTAAAAAATAAATGTGAAAAGTAACTCTTGTGGCTTTGCCATTTATATTCACAGAAGGTTGCAATTATTATTCGATAAAAAAAAGCTACATGTTTGTGCTGTATTCGGAAATGAAGCGCGTGCGCGCTCGAGGCTTAAGCAACAATGTTGAACGTGATTTTCGATTAGAATTGTATGCAATAAAATGCAGTGAAGGGTTAATGCTTTGCACGCGCGCGCGGCTCACGGGGCTCTCGTATATATCCCGCGGGAAAAAATTCCGCGGATACTTCTCGCGAGCGTTTAGCAACAACAAAGTCCGAAAGCTTCGAGTTGTCGGCGACTCTCCTTGAACGCAAAATCGGGTGCGCGAGCCTGAACCGAGTCCCTTTCACCGACATCGTCGCGTCGAAGCGAGATCGGCCGGTCGGGCTCGCTTCGGTCGCGAGTGGCCATAAAATATGCGGAGGTGCGAGCTTATCGGCGATCTAATAAATCGGTGGTAACGTATCGCGCGTGTAGGTACAAGCATTTCGCGAAAGGTACAAACATTCTGGGAGATCCTGGAAAATGCACGCTGGATCCGAGCCTCCGAGCGAATTGCGAGTGCGAATAATGCACCGGCTGTCGCCGCAAGGCACGCGCGTGATATTGAGATTAAAATAGATTTTGAACGATATCACACACACATATACAGACAATATGTACATAATATACTTCTTTTATATTATTTATTTATTATTTATGATTATATTATTTTAAAGAGTTTAATCAAATTTATTTTATGCTTGAATATTGATTTATGCACTTTATTATTTATTCTTTGAAATGAAAGATTAATTCCATTAAAACAGTCTCAATCGCACGTTTATTGCGCCACATCCTTAGGTAAGCCGTAGAATAATAACGCATGCTGCTAGGTTGCAATTTCAGCATTACGCGCGGCTGACCCTCTTCTTCTTCCTCTTGCCAGAATGCGGGAGTACGTGGAAGAGAATGAGAAGAATGACCCGCTGATACACGCGCCCGACAAGAAGAACAATCCTTGGGCCGAGAAAGGCAAGTGCATAATCATGTAATCGGGGCCAACAGCGGAGGAAGAGCAGCGGAAGAAGAAGGAAGCGTGTATACAAACCGAGAAGAAGAGGAGCCGATCGTTCATCCGCGGCAAAGGGAATCTCAGGCAAAGATTACGAAAAGGAAAAGGGGGAGGTGGAGCGGAAGGAAGAGGAAGAAATGCCGGTAGACGTCCGCTGTGGTTCGATCGCGGATTTATAATGATCGTTGACCGGCCGTCGAAATAAGAACGTGGGGCTATGAATCTATCTCGATCTCGCAGTCGATCCGTTAATCGAAAATCGGACTTTGGCGAATCGTTTACCGGACCGTTCCGTTCCCTCGGGACTGCTTTTCCATCGCGCGGCGTGCGGCTGTGACGCTAATTCTCGATTCGTGTCGTTCTACGAGGTGTATTATCCCTCCCTAATCGTGCCATTATTCGTAACATGATTGTTGTTTGTAAAGATATTTCGAGATAGTCTCGAAGTCCGTGCATCATCGATCGGCACGTGGACGCAGATGAAAAGAGAAAAATGGAAAAAAAAAGAAAGGAAAACGAAGAAAACAAGTCGATTACTCGATCGTACGATCATACGATCGTTATTCGATTTTCCGAAATAGTCGCGATAAAATTCGTGTCAAATTTAATCAGTCTTATATTCGCGTAAAGAATCGAAGAAGAATAGAGACAAGAAATGAAAAGGAAATCGGAAAATCTATTAGGTGAAATACTTTCACTTGGTGGAAGCTGTCGTCTGGATCGATCGACGTCGAATCAATCGCCGCATGCCACGTGACGTCGCGTTGCACATCTCACTCGCCGATGCACTTGCCGTGTAAAACTCTCCCCATTCACTGACGATCTATCATAAATGCAATTTTCTCTAATGTTACATATACATATATACTATACATGACACATACAGTTATTAATATGATAATTATAATTACTCTTGTATATGTATCTCTGCGCGAATTTCTTACCGAAAATATATAATATGACCAGCGACTGAAATTCAAATCCTGTTTTTCGCATCTATCTCAGGAATATAATTACATGCAAAATATCACAATAGACGTCGACTCAATTTTGAATTTTATAAGATCGTTGAACACAATAGAAATCGCTACCGTGGCATTTCATTTCGTCCTCTCTTAATGTCGTCTGACCAATTGCTAACCGTTTCTACTGGCATTTATGATATGCGCACGAGATTTTGAGAATTGCTAAATTTTTTCTCTATGTTTCAATTTCTTATTAACAACTCTTTGTTTTAATTTCTAATTAATCTATATATAATTTTTTTATATGAAGAATATTCTACATATATTAGTACTATTTATATATGAGCATAATTAACAAAAAAAGTGAATTATATGAAAATATTTTGTTTATTTACTATTGTTATAAAAAGAATGGTAATGTCAATATAAAAATCTGCCAAAATTATTACAAATTTGTAAGTCAATTTCTAAAGAAAAAGTACATGCATTATTACATATATATTATTTGTAGAATTCTTTAAATTAATTTATGATTTCTAAACAGTATGTGACAAATGAAGTGTGATATATACGTATGACGTACTATATAAAAATGAAACTGTTTGGAACGCAAATATAGTTCATAAATTAAAGAGTACGAGAAATTTAATTTACAAAATTATATACATTTTAAGAAGAAATGTTTTATTTTTTATAAAGTGTGCTTAAGTAGACTTGCTTATAGTTTCGATTTGATTTTTTATACGTATAATGGATGTGCATATAAATTTTTAAAAATTTCTTTCTTTTTTTACAGAGATATTTAGAGATGAAGTATCGTTATCAATAATTATAATTATCCATTAATAGTTATACATTATATAGTTATTAATTGTTGTATATTATTTATAGGAGGATATTTTACATTAACTAATCATATTATACACTTCTCTTTCGCAAAGTATAGAACTTGCGGCATAAACAAAAGCTACGTGAACGAAATCACCGATAAAACATGCTTCGAAAGTTATGAGTTTTAGAGACTGTGCTTGATACGTTTGGTTTTGCCGAGTTTTGCGTCCAGCCGTGTCTTAAGAGTTTATCGAAATTATCTTATATAAATCTCATTTAAATGATGGAAGGAGGCTCTCCCCTCTCCATCTATTTTGTTGTGTAATTAATGTATCGTAATTACGTCAGATACTTTAAATCAGGGGTTTCCAGTCACGAGCGTATTGGGTAATCCGCATTGACATGCGGAAAGGAACGTGGGAATAACGTATAACAAATAACTCCCCACAGATGTAATTTTCGAAACCCGATGGTCGCGCTTATTACCACGGTGATCGGCGATTCGAGAGGCAAAAGGTTAACGACCGTTTTGCGGTTAAACTGCAATATCTATACCGCTATCCGAGCACAATTTGTATTTCTCTATAACGTTAATTACACATAGATACCTACGGTTCGTTAAGAGCTGGGAGAAAGGAGAGACGAGGTATTTTCGTACAAGGGGAGATATTAAAATTCTTACACACGTTTCTTACGAACAGCGAGAAGGAATGAAGGAAGAAATGATGAGCCGGGAAGAGATGCGAGAGGAAGAAAATGGCGAGAGTCACTTTCGCCTTTCAAACGAGCGAGTAGAGGATCCGCGAATGGACGACGGATAGCGCGTGCTCTTCGCGACAATTAGCGACGACGCAAATTGGTATCCTCTTTCACTTTCCTTCTCTTCCTGCGAGTCATTGTGCGCGATTAATTCGCGAAATGATTTATACATAATGAGACAGCGCTTCTTACAAGACGCGAGCGTTACAATGCGTACAATTAAATGTCGCTCGAGTTCGATCGGGATACTAGAAGTCATGAATCTTGAAAAACGAGCACTCTTGTTTGTTTGCAGCTAGGTACTTGAAACATGTGTGATTGCCATTATTACGCGATTATTATATTGTATAATGGATGAAAAAATGGAAGAACAGATAGCTTATTCTTTAGAGCGTTTAAAACGACGATCTTTTCTCGTTTACAGGACGTCTTCAAAAGATAATATTCAGAGATAATGTATTCTAAGAAAATGGCGAGAGTCACTTTCGCCTTTCAAACGAGCGAGTAGAGGATCCGCGAATGGACGACGGATAGCGCGTGCTCTTCGCGACAATTAGCGACGACGCAAATTGGTATCCTCTTTCACTTTCCTTCTCTTCCTGCGAGTCATTGTGCGCGATTAATTCGCGAAATGATTTATACATAATGAGACAGCGCTTCTTACAAGACGCGAGCGTTACAATGCGTACAATTAAATGTCGCTCGAGTTCGATCGGGATACTAGAAGTCATGAATCTTGAAAAACGAGCACTCTTGTTTGTTTGCAGCTAGGTACTTGAAACATGTGTGATTGCCATTATTACGCGATTATTATATTGTATAATGGATGAAAAAATGGAAGAATACGGATAGCTTATTCTTTAGAGCGTTTGAAACGACGATCTTTTCTCGTTTACAGGACGTCTTCAAAAGATAATATTCAGAGATAATGTATTCTAGAAGTAATTTGCTATTGATTTTTTTTTTTAGCGAAAGTCTAACTCCAATCTTAATCACTGTATAATTACAACGATACGATCTCAATCAGAGCAGACCAGTAATCAGGGACTATGTACTTATACGGAAGCTCATTAAGTACGAATATCTTCCTTGTATGATAGAGACTTGTTTTTTTTTTATTTTGAAGATAAAACATATGTGTAATAAGATATTCTTTACATACTTTCAAATGCAAAATTATGCTTCATTGAATCGATTATTGCTTTCTCTAGTTTGATTAATTTAAACCATCTCTCTTTTTTTTTAATCGGTAAAAAATTGCAAGAAATAACAGTAAATAATTAAAGGAGTTTGCTAATCCTGACTATGTCTGTGCGAATGCTGAATAAAAGTGCGTTTCATCAGCTCGCGGTAGGACAATGTCACAGATAGTGTGCCTTCCTCACTGGCATTTTGCAACAGCAGTGAGATTTTCACGGCGAGCGACAATTTCTACACGTCTGCAATTCCCAGATGTAAATTCGATTGCCGACTTTCTATATCTTCTATATACTCGCGGGAAATTGCCGCATACACACACACATACATATATACAGAAACGCTGGTTTTAAATCGATTTCAGGAAATTATTTATTACGCTGCATAAACACAATATAAATTATATATTTGTGTATATCATGCACGACCGTTATGTAGACTGATTGCACGATCGCGCTATCGATAACTTGCTGGAACACTTCCCCCAATTATATCTCAAGTGTTGCAACATTTAAATAACCGATCGATTATGTATCAGTCGTTTAGCCAGTCGTGCTTTATATTAAAGTGCAATTTATCTCATGCAATCACAAATTTTATCGATTATCGTATTGTATTATATTTTTGATTTTACTTTTCTAACGTAATTAATATCGCGCTTTAGACAATCATGGAAATTTTATACATTTTTTTATATATCTACCGAAATTCTAATATAACTATAAAACTTTAACTAACTTTTATATTTATGCAACATAAAGCAAAAAATTTTAATATTATAATGCTATTTTTATGTTATTTTCTTCATATATGTATGTTTAATGATCCGAAAATATATGCTTTGTAAATTAAGCAAATTTCTATTTTTATCACATGATATAATTGCATATTGCTAAATTATTATTTATTACATATCTCGCAATAACAACTATAAAATTTCTTCATATATTATTAATAAAATTAATTAATTGGCTGAAATTATTAATTTTATTGGCATTTAGGTAATATTGAAAATAACTGGCCCTGCATCTGACAAAAACAGGAGAATAAATTAAATCTCAGTTAACTATAATTGTTGCATATATGAAAAACATGGAAACAAACAAAGAAACGAAGAATTTATAAAATCTAGCTTTACACATGAGATCGGTTATACTTGAAATTAAATCTATAATATATCTCAGTTTCAATATTCATACCAAAAAGGAAGATGTTATGGACAGTAAGAGTGATTGATATTCACCGTATCTGATGGTCGGCGAAGTCCGGTGCTTTTGCCGATCTTTCGCGCCGTCCTGCGCGACCGATTTCAGCTATAGCTCGCGCTGTCACTTACTATACGCAAAATGAAAGGCGACTTTAATTGCCGTTACGGCTACGACGACGACGACGACGGTAGCGACGACGAAGACGTCGTCGTCGTCGTCGTCGTCGTCGTCGTCGTCGTCGTCTGCAAGTATGCTGCGAAAATGTGTAGTGTGTACGAGAAAGGGAGAGACAGAAAGAGAGAGGGTGCACTCCGTTCAGGGAGTAAAGAAAAAGAGAGAGAGAGAAAGGGGGGGGGGAGAGAGGGAGTGATATAGCTAGAGAGAGGGAAAATAAAAGAGAGTAAGATAGAGAAAGAGAGAAAGAATGATAGTAGGCTTGTTCGCCACACCAGTCAGTGTTTCCCGAACTGCTGTCAGTGACAGTTCCATAATCATGCGGCGGCGGATTTTTGATTATTGATTCATATTGATCCGTAACGAAGAGATTCTTTTTTTTTTCTTTTTTTGCTCCGATAATTTTGTCGTGTTATCTGTTGAGTTTTCCCATCAATTAGACACTGTGTTCGGAAAACTTTTCGTTGATTTTCTGCTTTCGCGCGGTGCTACGAGTCACGAACCCTTGTTGTTTTTGTTGTTTTGAATAATTGGAGTAAATATGGTGAGTACAATTATTTATCACGTTGATTGATTAAGTCATCGTCAAATTTGGATTTTTCGAATAATAATAGATGTAATTTATTATTTAAAATGTAATAGTTTTTTAACACATAAGACTACACATTTATGCTATTAAAAGTCTTATGATATTAAAAAGTTTTTTATATTATTAAAAAATTAGAGTATTATTAAAATATTTCTTGTATTTATTTGAGATGATTATATAATTTTAATTTTATTTTCACTTATATTTTCAGTTTTCTTAATCATATCAAAGAGCAAGTAATATGTCATACAATAATTATATTTATATGTTATTTTTTCAACTTTATTGTTATGTAATGTAACTCGAAAAAGAAATTAGGGAGGGTTAAATTACTATCGCGCCATATTCTTCTATAACTTGCGAATTATAAATAACGTAAATTATATTAAATTTAATCGATTAGAGATAGATAGCAGTTTTCTAAATTACTGGTACGTTAGGTAAGAGAGGATTTCTTCGGCTGTTTCTCATTTTGATCGCCGTCAGAGATCTTTGACGTAAAAAGATTGGTCGAACAATTTGCTCCAATTTTGCGATCATCATGATCGAGAAAGAAAGAGAGACAATTTAAAATCGCTCTCCCGCGACAGAGAGATATTCACGACAGGATGTTCTGCGTCTAACACGTTTCTCTTACACGCGGCTTCATCTTTGAGCCGTTTGATCTTTTTTTTTTTGCACGACGGGGTTATTACATCATGCGTGGATTCATGCGAGACACCGTGGAACCGTTCTGAAAAGAGTTCGATTCAAATGTCGGATTAAAGGTAGATATGCAAGATCGCGATCACTCGCTTGTGTCATTATTAGGACACAGATTTTATTACAGTTGATGATTAAAACGTGCATTTGCGATGGTTTACATTCAAATCATCGACAATATTTACGTCGTTATTTCATCGACGTCGAATTTGATCAACATCGAATTGAGCAAAAAATTTAAAATTAACAAATACAATATATATTATTAAGCGGTGCCGATTAAATTCGTTGTCGATGAAATATTTATTGCTGATTTCGATGTAATCCGTCTGTCCTAGAATGCTTCATAATTACACACATTGATTCTAATCTAAGTTGACTGGAAGCCTATATGCAATTCTACTTATTGGAATTAATTGTGCAATTTATGGAATTTCGAATTTATTATTATTATTATTGTTATGTGCCACGTGTACTTATATGATCTAAAATTATACATTTATATAGTATGATAAATAATGATTTTATCATCATTTGTAAGTTAACTACTTCTTTCTTATTTAATTAGCTTAGAATCTATCAATATTTCAAAGATTTTTTTTTTTACCACGAGTTTATATAGAGAATAAAACTATTTATTTAATCATATTAAATAATTATTTAACAAATCAGTTAGTTAACGTGAAAATATCATAAAGATGTAAAATAAGAATCCCAGAAACATTAATTTTAACGCTAATTATCATAATTGAGATAAACTCATTTATCGAGCAATAAACATCGAGTATCGCTACTTCGAGCTAAATTTCCGGACCTACCCACATTCGCAAAAATCTATCTGTTCAAGATACAGCAACAATATATTTAAATACAATAACGATTTTGCGATGGAAATCAGCGTAGCCGCACGCACACGCATACACACACATCAAGATCTTTGTTGCAGAATCGAGAACTCGTTCTGTCCTTCCGGGTGCTACGTCTCCTCTCACTTTCGTCGTGCGACGACCTCGTTGACGTATTTTTTTTCCCTTTTTTTTTTTTTTTTTTGACATAACGATATAAATCTTAGCCGAACAGCGGCATTGAAATCGCCGAGTAATAGCGTGACGTTTTCGTCGCGCGTGGGCGGGCCTTTTACTTATACAGATATATACGTATGTTTGAATGGACGTACAAAAAAATGGATATATATATCCCATCACAACTTTATTACGTGCCTCGTAACGTTATGTTACAGGATTCACCTGTTCGCGCTGTGAAAGCGCACTTTTGAAGAATGTCTGTGTAATTGAATCAGTAAATCGGTATATCTTTTCGCTTTTCACTTTTCATCTCTTCCTTAATCCCGAGTGAATCTTATCTAATCAAATCTTATTGTTTCGCACTGAATGAAAAAGCGATGTGAGCCCGCGGTTCCGATATATGTGTTAGTGTATAATGCTTTGTTTTCTCTTATTTTATTCTTAGGTAAAAATTAACGAAAATTAATGCAATTGATTTGCTGCTTCAAACTATCTGTAATTTTTTGCGCTGCCTTTTGTCTCGCCATCATTAATCATTTTTTGTCAATTTGTGGCAAATAATATTTTATTTTGCCAAGTATCTCTTTCTCTCTCTCTCATTAAATTATTTTTTCTCTTAGAAAATATTAATATCTTTTTCTACGCATCGGTGCATCTGTATCAATTTATGCAGTTTTAATTAGAAATATTAACAGTTATAATCTCTATCTATTGATCCGCAATCTGTTTTTATTATACTTGTTTTCGATATTAACGGTTATGTTATTTGTCTTTATGTTATCTTTACACTTTATATATTTCTCTTACACAGTTTACACATCACACAATGTCAATATTGCTTTTACTATGGGCATAAATACCGGACAGATTATACGTTCTAATTACGAACGCCGCTTTGCAATCATGCAGGGCGCTATAAATCTCTATCATATAACTTTCTATCTCATCCTGCTACACTTGAGAATATCGAGTTATATGTACGTCGTATAAGTAATTATAATGCTAAAGATAAACTAAGCTAGTGCAGCATTTTTAAACGTTTCTTCCAGGAAAATATCAATATTTTATTTATGAGCGGCAAGATTGATCTTCGGATATTTATTAAGGGGCAATTGTTTATTTCTTTTATTCTATACGAGAAAAATATCTTTTATTATCCGATTCGAAGTCATTCGTGCCTTCGTCGCGATCGTAGGATGCAATGGATTGCGCTGAATTATTAATGAGTGTCGTTAATCGTGACCAACCAGTATAACGGTAAAGAAAAAAAAAA